AAGAGTAAGTCTCTCCAAGCTAGAAGGGAAAGGTGTTTTCTTCCACATTAATCCAGCTTTAGAGACATTCTACTAGTGATATTTGCCCCTTCCCCAAAAAACAACAATGAAGTGTTCTGTGTGCTAACAACATAGCTTTAAAAAAAAAAAAAAGAAAAAGAAAAAAGGTAAAACAAAATTCTGCATTTTTATAAAACTTGATAAAAAATAGTATTTCAAACTGTACAGTCACCAGAAGTACACAGTTATCAAAAATGCACACACTTCACTTGGCATCTCCAGCACCTTCAGCTTTCTGTGCCTAAAAGAAAAGCAGACAGATTTTGAAATGATCTTTATTTCATATTCCCTCTATAGCATTACCTTGCTCCCAGCCCAAAGCTGAGGCTGCAGATACTTAAGACAGTAAGACATCATACTCTTAAGTCACCTTGTGAAATCACTCTCCCTTTGGGTGTTACAAAATTAGGGGAGGGAGCACACCAGAGTTAGATCTATATGATTACTCTCAACTGGAAAATTCTATACTTTTACAAGTGCCATCCTTGGCGAAGAAATGAGGAGTCCTCAGCTGCAGTAGGAGCATGACACCTTACAATGGGACAAGAAACACCTCACACAACAGTGGCCGTTACTGGATGGTGGCGACTTTAGGATTCTAAAATTTAAGTTAATAGGAAGACTACAAGAGAACTCTGGACTGACACCCATCTCTCTTCCACACATCAAAAAAACTAGATTACTCTTAAAAGTGATGTCAACATAGGAAAAGGTAACTGTACAGATTTCGGGCTCAGCAACTAACTGAATGAGCAGCCCTAACAAAAATGTAGTTGTACCTGGTCTGTTTTGGCATCTCCGTTTTCTGCAGGGTTATTCCCATCCTTGCCAGCATCAGCTTTCCCTTTTTTCCCTTTGGGTACCTTCTCTCCCTTCTAAAAGGAGATATTAAAAAAAAAAGAAGAAGAAGAAAAAGCTGTTTCTCCCCATTTCATATCATCAGAGCATGTTTTCTGCAAAGCTCTGCACAAGACAGGATTATTTAACACCACACAACCACCACAAAATAACGCTCCTCTAATGAGGCAAAATTATCTGTAATTCGCTGTAATCTTTAATATATAAAGGTTTACAAGTGTAATTAATTAACAGGCTAAATCAACATAAATTTAATAGCCAAAGTTTAGTTTTCTGTAAATTGATAATAAAATTCTCAACTAGGTAACCAGTATTACAAATACCAGCAGTTAGGCAAATTATTTATTAAAAAAATATAAAATGCATTAATGTGTCACCATTACACTGAATTGCTATATAAGGCACAGAAGGACAGTCTTCATTATGTGAAGAACATCAATTCTAACGTTAAGGCACTAGTCCCATTAACTTTGCCCTATTTCAAAAACTTTATCCAAAAGAAAATTGTCTCATGGAAACTGCTTCCGGCTTATAATTCCTCATAAGCACGCTTGACTCACAGACCCACTCACCTTTGCAGGGGCCTTTTTAGGCTTAGGCTCTGGTTTTGGAGGAGCAGGTTTCTTTTTGATAAGGAGAGGAGTAAAAAGAGCGTATTAGTACAATGGACCAAAGAAAACCCACAACAAAGCCATAGTACCACCAGCACAGAAGTTTCTCCTACTTCTCAGAAAGTTTTTGTGGCTGGTTTTCCATTAGAATGCCCTATTCTCCAGAACCCCACTCAAGCAAGCGTTCTACTTTTGCTACTGTTAGGAGCATTTTAAGAAACAGCTACCCTCAGATGGCTAGGAGTCCAGAGTAGAGCAAAATACTCAGAACAGTCTCTAGCCAACTTTCTCGGGAAGCGAGAGGATTCTCTTCATATGATTTTTAAATTGAGGAATAGATAAGAAAATGTAAAAGTAAACACTTACAGCAGATAACCTTGCGGATCTCCTCTGTGGCTATTTAAAAAAAGAATTTTTGACAAAGTTAGAAAAAAAGGATAAACTATTTGTCTTTCAACGAATAAACAAGATTTTTGACGCCAATCTGTTCTAGATTATCAGAAGGGGAAAAGAGCTAAATTCAGAGCGAGGGTTTGATTGTCACTTACGGAGTTCTATGGTCTTTACCACAAAAAGCTTTATAAAGATCCAAAAAGAAAATAGGTAAGACTTACTTCGTCCTTCACCTTGGCTTTATCTCCCTTAGCATCCCCTTCAGCCTATAAAAAACAATAAACAAGTAAACTGTAGTCGCTACGAAATTTTTAATGATTTTCTAAGCTTAATAAAATCCTAAGTGAAAAGCTGGAGAACTTTCACAGAACATATATAAATCGTCAGTTTTTAGTATCCTCATCGCCTATGCAAATAATTAAAGTGCTTAATATGTCGTGTGCTTGCTTATTTGCTTAAGTTCCATGCCCTTTCAGGCCCAAAGCGCGCACGAGAGCGGGCGTCCTGGACCCAGCCGGTTGGTAGGCTGAAGAGCCGGGGAAGCACGCGCAAGCAGCACCAAAGGACCCGGGCCGCCTGCGCCAGCGCGCAAAGCGGTCTTCTCCAACAGCTGCAGATGGTGCAAACCAACCCCCTCCGGAGGTGGAGCCCGAGCGCCGTTGCCATAGCAGCCGTCGAGGGCGGGAGCGGAGAAGCGCGCGCGCAGCCGGCAGACTAGTGGGCGACGGCGGCGCGCACCGGCACTGGTTCAGGCGCGGGGGACGTGGGCGGCGCACCGGAGCCGTGCGCACCGCGGTCGCCCTCCCTGGAGAGAGTGGCGCGCAGACGGAGGCGGGGCAAAGTAGCACAAGCCCCACCCCCAAGGGAGGTCGGACCCGCCCCCTCACGGCGGCAGTTTTTGGCGGCAGCGCGTTCCCCCGCCCGCCGTCTTCCCGCCCTTTCGGGTTTGAATTGCCCGCCCGCGGGGAGAGGAGGGCGCCTCGCGGTGGGGGAGGGGGTGCGGGGCGGTCTCGTCGAGCCCGAGGGGAGCGGGATAAACAGCCGCCAACATGGCTCCTCCCGCCGCGGCCGCCTCTCCTCCAATATGGCCTCTGGCGCCCGCGGGCAGCCGAGCCGCGCGGGGTTAGCCTGAGGCCGCCCGCCACCCCCTCGAGCCACGACCCTTGGCAGCTAATCCTATCCCAGCCTAGCGCCGATCCTCGCGCCTCGGAGCTGGGGAAGCGGTGGCGGCAGCGGCGGCCCATCGCCTAGGGCTCTCGCGCCACGTACCTTTCTCTTGGGCATGGTGGCGACGGCGGCGGGACGCAGGCGCTGGAAGCGGGGATGCGGCGGTGCGCGAGCTTTGGTCGATCAGGGGGTCGTTCTCGCCTCTTCTTCACACTGCTCAGGCTCCGGGGGGTTTATAAAGTTTTTATAGCGCTGGGAGCCCCGGACCGGTTAGAACCGGATTTCACCTCCCGCCGCTGCTCATTGGCCCAGCTGGGGTCACGTGGGCGGGGTTTAAACTCACCTCCTCTGGAGGGAGTGAGGAGGGGGGTCCGGGGGAGCAAGGCGCGCGAAACGGCGGCGCGCCGAGGGGGTGGGGGCGCAGTAGAAGAGGCGCGCGTCGAAGGCAAAAAATGAGGGGGGTGGTGCGCGAGTCGGCCGAGTCTGCGGTTCGGCTCCCAGCAAGAGCTGGATTTTGCAAACTACCAAGTTCCTTCCACCTTATGCAACCGAACAACCCACTTCTCCAAGCCGTGCAACACTCAGGGCGCATCTCAGCCGCTTTCCTTCCTGCTCCCGCTGGGGGCCTCAGGAGAGGGTTTGCGAGGCCTGGCCACCCGCCCTACTCCACTGGAGGCGGGAGGGAGCCCGCGGCTTGGAGGCACCGGCTGCAGTTCCCAGGGCTAAGGCTGACGCTGAAGTGAAGAGCAGGGAAGCCACCTTGGCGCAGCCGGACGTACATCCTCCCGAGCTGCCACTCCAAGGAAGCCTTTCGTGCATCTCACCTGGAAGGCGATGCACCCGAGGTGGGGGGGGGGGCGGGTTTGAGGGGAGATTTTACCCGCAAAGGTGCTTTTTGGGCGCAATGGGTCAGGTAGGAGCTGTTCTTTCAGCACCCGTTGTTCAGGCACCTCCCCAAATACTAAGGAAGCCCCCCGGCCCCCAAACCCACTCCAATGGCCTCCTTAGGTCCCTGTATTCCCGGACCGCAGGACCCCCGCCACAGACTGATGGGGAGCGGCCGTCAGGAAGGCCTACCAGCTCTTCTTTCGCCCTAGGCTCCACCCGTTTCTGAGGCATCCAGCCCAGCTGCCCCCACCCGACGCGGTCACCAAGCCTGGGTACAAACGCAGCTGGCGAAATTTCTCCTTCTACACTGTCAGGCTGGCTTCACTTGCGCAAGGAAAAGGAGGGTGGAGGAAAGCGCCCAGGGATTAGAAAACGTAGAGGTACAGGTGTTGCGTTGGATGGCAAAAGGTCTCTTCCGGTGCCCCTGAGTCCAAAGCTAAGTGTCCTGGAGTTTGCCAAGGGCACCTGAAGAAAGATAAACAATTGCCGCAGCAAAACAAGATGTTTTTTCATTGCCTGTTAGTAAACAACTTGGACAGCTAATTTGAAAATTCTATTTGAGACCCAGGAAAACACAAGAACATGGTAAATATCCTCAAATGGGGACTTGGCTCACAGGAGGAAGGACATTTAAATAGGTCCCACCTGGTTTCTTGAGAAAAGGGGTGAAGCTGGTTTCAACAAATCATACTGGTAGACAGCAACCACAGTTCAAGTATCCTGCAGCCCAAACTCCTGGGCTTCAGTGGCTCTGGAAGGGATAGCTCCTCCCTACCCCACCCTATGTGCCTTTCCCAGAATATACAACTTCAGGCCAAAGAGATACCAGCCTTATTAATCACTTCTGCTGTACCCCAATCACATTAGGGAAAGTCAGGCACAGAAAGGGAGACAGGACTCAACAGCCATGCTTACAGGGCAGATTCCGTTTGCTGCCTCCAGCCCCTCATTCCCGCCTTAATTGTAGGGCTCTGCATTATAGCCGCATAATTCATGCCTCCCTAATTAAGGCTGTCAACAGCCCCATTGTAAAGCTGGAAAATGTACAGCACCTGCTCTCCAGGAACCCATGCCAGGGACTGGTAGTGGGGAGTGCCAGGTGTGAGTGGGGGCTTGCCAATGGGTGCATTGATTGGCTTCTCAATCGTAGTGCCTGGCATTTATGCTTGATTCTGAGAGCAGGGATGATGGCCAAGGGGTCTCTTATGTCATGTATCCAGGCACAGTAAGGGAGGAGCAGACTGAAGTATAGGAAGGTTAGAGGTCTGAAAGTATACCCTTAACACTGTTTGCAAGATCCCACTTCTACCCTACAGAGATGATGGGGAAACAGCTTGCACAAAGTAAAATGGGAAGACTACATGAAGTAGCATGGGGTTGGTATCACTGGCTGGTTCTTGCTGCTCTGGGGCACCTGAAGCACAGGGTTCACTCAGGCAGGCAGCTCTTCAAAGGCACTAATCCTCTCTGCAGCCCTGCAGCAAGGACTGGCGGGAGAGGTAAAAGAAAGGACATAACCCTTGATTCTGCCCTCGTTTTCCTGCCGGGCAGTCTTGGTCCTCACAAGCAAAGGAAGGCCTGGAATCAGCTGGGACTCCGCCATGCTGAGAATAAGTCATCTCAGGGCCTTCTTAGGGGGCTAGGTCAAAAAGCCAAGAAGCCCTGAGAGAGGGAGCTGAGGAAGTGAGAATCAAACTCTGAGATGGTGAGGGGGGAGGCAGAGTTAGGTGGGAGAAGTGCTTGTTTCCTGTTCCTGGTCCTGATGTGTTACAGGGCAGGAGGCCTGTGCTGGATCAGACTCACCAGGGCCTATAGCTCTTCTGTTACCCTGTAGCTATAGAGGGGGCTGGCCTCACGGGGGAGTGGAGTCTGGCCTCATGCCCTTCGAGGAGGAGAAAAGCTTGTGTGGGCTGAGTCGACAATAGGTAATTGGATTGTAATCACCCGCCTGGCTTCCGCGCCATTGGGGGCGCTGAGCCTTTCAGTGAGCAATCAGTGCTGCATGGTGGGAGGGGTAGAGATTCAATAGCGAATCCCAGGTGGAGAACCAAGGGAGAGGAGCAGCAGATGGGCACATTTTCTTTCTGTCTCTCCCGTTCCTTTCTTCCTTGCCCAAATAACACTGACTGCCTATTAGCTGTTTATCAGCAGAACCAAGGTGGAGCCAAATCTTTTGTCAAAGTCAGATGGAAGCTAAGATGGATAGGCAAGGGACTAGAGTTTGGGGGGCTCTCCCCCCACAGTTCTGTGTCGAAGGATGGAATGGTGGAAAAAGTGCTTCTCGGAGTACAGACAGCGATAGCAACAGGAGGAAGGAGCAGCAGCCGAAGAGTTAGGGGCCTGCTCCCAAATCTACAGGTGACCAGAGCTGGGGTTAGTGTACTTGTGGGGGGCTCTCACTCTCAACTCTCCCCAGAGGCCCCTGTCCCAGGCAGCCTACAGGCATCTATGGCCAGCAGACCTGGCCTCTGGGGCTTCCCTGCCAAGCACAGGGAACACAAATCATCATCAGGAGGGAGGTGTCTTTCACCAAGAAAAAAGTTGGAGTGGGGCCCTGGAGGCAGAAGGCAGGGCACAGTGGCAGGTGGCCAACCTCACTCAGGCTGATGTGGTGCCCAGACGTGCTAGCCAGTCAGCCCGCTTGAGTTCCAAGGCCTGGAGGAAGCCTTGGACCCGCTCTTCCCGCTTGGCTGAGAGTTTGTGCAAGTATGTCCATCGGAGCTGGGTGTCCCCACTGGCCTGAAGCCCCTCTCGCAGCAGCTGCTCAGTCACTGCAGCCTGGTCCCTCTCCAACTGCTGCCTCTTCCGTTCCTCTGCATACATGTCTCGGGCCTTCTGCTAGAGAAAAGTGGGGATTGGGGTGGGTAGATCATTTTTAGGTGTGGGTGGAATTGGGATGGAGGAGGGGTGGGGTGGGGCACAGGGCAGGTTAAATTAAGTGAAACAGTGGAGTCTGTACCAGATTTGGAAAGGCTTGGGAGTAGGTGTGGTGTCTGATGCCATGTTGCACGGGCCGGGCAGTGGCAATTTGGGGTCTATCTTGGTTTGTTATGGGTGAGGAACATCTGTATTTCTTGAAATTCTTCTCAGTTTTTCAATTAGAAGGGAACCAGATAAACATGGGTCTGACTTCTGGTCCCCCTACAAATGTACGGTTTCAGGCAAATCCTTTCCTAACCTCATTTCTGCATCTGTAAAGTGGAGGTTGTGCCTACCTTGAAGAGTGGTTTTAAGGATTAGAGATAATATATGCAAAATCCTCTCTGGCATATTAGCAGACTCTCAAACAGAAACAGCAATTTTATAAGTTATTACTGTCTATTCTCTACTGCAAGGAAGGTCTTATTCCTGTCTGTGCCCACCTTTGGGGTCACTTGCCTTGGTGACTCTAAGAGTGCCATGATCCTACTCCCTAAGCTATTCTTCAGTTCTGCTGACTTGCCTCTTATTTGGAGACCCACTTGACTCTTCCAGCAGATGACCCTCTTATGAATATTCTGAGATGCAAATTCAGATCCCTGAAGCGACTTACTGCATTCTGCCTAGTAGAATAGGTGTTAGTGTCCATAGTCTACTTTTTCTGTTAGAAGACAAGCCCTTGAGGGCTTTATAGAGCCCTAGGGCTCCTGGAACCAGCTCTGACACCAGGCAGGTGATCATACAGCACTTCTTACACTTGTATCTTTGGCAAACCATGAACTCCTAGAAGACAGAGACAGTGCTGCCACCTGGAATGCCCTGTATATATGAAATACTCAGTTGACTGACCATGGGATCCCAGGAGGGAGGGAGGATACTTATGCCACAGGATGAGGAAAAATCCCTTTGGAAGAGAACCAAGGCCTTGCCTCGTGCCTCACTGATGCACTCTGCTCCTACCAGTCTAACTGGCCCACAGACCCTCTGCAGTTTCTCCTGCCAAACCTATCCCATGGAAGAGAAACTAGGTTTTGCTTCCTACTTGGCATCCTATACCTCTATCTTCATCCTTTAAAGAACACCTTACATTTGTGTTGGCACTTCACCTGAATGCAGGCAGGGGGCTACAGCCAAGGCAGAGTCTGACCTCTACTTTCCAGGAATCAGCAGTTCATTTTTAGAATGGCAGATGTGACAGAGCTCCTAAAGATCATCTACCCCGGTCTCCTCAATTTACAAACAAGGCCACCGAGGCTGTAATAGGAAGGGACTTGGCCTGTATCACACAGCTGGCTGAAGTTCTTTTGGTTTCTTCAGGAAGGTGGCTTGAGAGGAAATTTATCTTGTACCTATGGAATGAGCTCTGCTTGCTGAAAATGAAGAAGATTTAAAGCACTGACCGATAAAGATCAAAGACTACAACCTTCAGTATGGATTAAACATCAACATAAAGAAAACAAAAACCCTCACAACTGGACCATAAGCAAGATCTTGATAAATGGGGAAAAGACTGAAGTTGTCAAAGATTTCATTTTACTTGGATCCACAATCAGTATCCATGGAAGCAGTAGTCAAGAAATCAAATGATGTATTGCATTGGGCAAATCTGCTGCAAAGAACCTCTTCAAAGTGTTTAAGAACTGTGGTGGTTATATTTTTGTGTCAACTTTGCTGGGCCTGGTTGAGTGGCTGGGCAGCTGGATGTAGTATTCCCTATGATGAGGCTGATAATCGACTCTATGGTGGAATCTACTGTGAGCAGCTGAGTAGCTGCCTTTGAATATGTGGTCTGCTTCCCGTATATAATAAGCAGCAGCTTTGGGAATGGTCTCTAGCTTATGGCACACTTGGACCCTGCCTGTAGCCGTGTCGGTGTTCAGCAGCCTGCCATGCTCTGCTGACCTTGGGACTTAATATCGTGGATTTGAATTAATGGCCTGCCGTGTGGTTTGGTAACATTGAGACTGTGCCATTTTATTTGTCAACCTTGGGCTTGTTTGCCTCAGCAGCCAGTAGCTGCCTGAGTGAAGAAAAGCCTCTAGATCCAGTGGGCCAGGAGCAAGAGACAGAGCTGAAGCCCAAGGTCGAGGGGCTTTTACATAGCTCCTAGAGCCTGGCACTTTGAACTTGGGACTTAAAGCCTCTAAATTGTAAGAACAAACTCCTGTTTGTTAAGGCCATCCCATTTGTGGTATATTTCTTGTCAAAGTGGTACTAGGTAACCAAAACAAGAACAAAGATGTCACTTTGAAGTCTAAGGTGCACCTGATCCAAGCCATGGTATTTTCAATAGCTTCATATGCATGTGAGAGCTGGACAGTGAATAAGAAAGACCACAGAAGAAATGATGCTTTTGAACTGTGGTGTTAGTGAAGAATATTGAAGGTACCATGGACTGCTAGAAGAACAAATCTGTCTTGGAGGAAATATAGCCAGAATGTTCTTCAGAAGTGAGAACAGCCAGACTTTGTCTCTCATGTTTTGGTCATGTTGTTAGAAGGGACCAGTCCCTGGAAAAGGGTATCATGCAGGGTAAAGTGGAGGGTCAGCAAATAAGGGGAAAGACTCTCAATGAGATGGACTGACACAGTGCCTGCAACCATGGGCTCAAACACGGCAATGATGTGAGGATGGTAAAGGACTGGGCAGTGGTTCATTCTGTTGTACACAGACAGTTTGCTATAAACTGGGACTCACACCTAATGACAACAACAAGGATAAGCCATGCTTTCTAGGGGTAGAGTGGGGAAGCTCGAGACATGCATCTGTACATCCGGCCTCTACATGGTCTGGCTATACACTCCCATTAATAGGTATACTCACCTTTAGAAGATCCTCAGGTAACAGAAGTCCTAACAGAGACTTTCTCTCTCCCTGATCATATTGTCTATGTTTCTGTTGTTGTTGTTAGGTCCCACCGAGTTGGCTCTGACACATAGCGACCCTCTGTACAACAGAACGAAACACTGCCCGGTCCTGCACCAGCCTCACAATCCTTGCTATACCTGAGCCCATCAATGCAGCCACTGTGTCAATCTACCTCATCAAGGGCCTTCCCCTTTTTTGCTAACCTTCCACTTTATCAAACATGATATCCTTCTCCAGGGAATGGTCCCTTCTGACAACTTGACCAAAGAAGGTGAGATGAAATCTGGCGATGCTTGCTTCCAAGGAGCATTCTGGCTGCACTTCATCCAGGGCAGATTTGTTTGTTCTTCTGGAAGTCCATGGTAGTTGCAGTATTCTTTGCCAACACAACTCAAAAGCATCAACTCTTCTTTGGTCTTCCTTATTCATTGTCCAGCTTTCACATGCATACGAGGCGACTGAAAATACCATGGCTTGGGTCAGGCGTATCTCAAAGAGACATCTTTGCTTTTCAGCACTTCAAAGATATCTTTTGCAGACAGGCATATGAGGTGAACATTTACATTAGGTAAATATACTCCTTGGAGAGAACAATCATGGGAGAATAAAAGGGCTGTGTATGCACAGGGAGACAGCTCAGGAGGCAGGAGTGCATAGAGGGAAGGACACAGGGAAGAGGTATCTATGGGGAGGAAGTGGGAGGGGAGCTGTTGCATTGAGGTAAATTGTAATCAATGTCATGAGACAAAGTGTATGTGAGCTGCTGTATGGAAACTGAATTTGCTCTGTAAACTTTCACCCAAATCACAATTAAATAAATAAATAGAAGAGGTCTTTTGCAGCAGATTTGCCCAGTGCAATATGTCATCTGATATCCTGACTGCTGCTTCCATGGGTGTTGATTGTGGAACCAAGTAATATGAAATCTTTGACAACTTCAATCTTTTCTCCATTTATCATGATGTTGCTTATTGGTCCAGTTATGAGGATTTTTGTTTTATGTTGAGATGTAATCCATACTGCAGACTGTAGTCTTTAATCTTCACCAGTTAAGTGCTTCAAATCATTTTTACTTTCAGCAAGCAAGGTTGTGTCGTCTGCATATTACAGGTTGTTAATGAGTCTTCTTCCAATCCTGATGCCACATTCTTCTTCACATAGTCCAACTCAGCATACAGATTGAACAAGTATGGTGGAAGGATGCAACCCTGACACACTCCCTTCCTGATTTTATACCATGCAGTATTGCCTTGTTCTGTCTGAATGACAGCCAGACATATTGATAGTGCACTGGCTACATTAACAGTATAATGCCCAATCGGGTAAGTTTTTAGTTACCTAATGCCGTTCTGACAAGAATATACCACAAATGGGATGGCTTAAACAAACAGAAGTTTATTCTCTTACAGTTTGGAGGCTTTAAGTCCAAGTTCAAAGTGCCAGGCTCTAGGGGCTGGGTGAAGGCCCCTCAACATTGGGCTTTAGCTCTGCTTCCTGCTCCTGGCCCACTGAAGCTAGAGGCTTTTCTTCATTCAGACAGCTACTGGCTGCTGAGACTACCAAACCCAAGGTTGACAAGTAAAACGGCACAGTCCCAATGTTACCAAACCAACAGCAGGCCATTAATTCAAGTCTATTGTAAGTCCCAAGATCAGCAGAGCATGGAAGGCTGCTGAACAACGACACAGCTACATGCTGTCAAGCGTGTCGTAAGCTAGAGACCATTCCTCAAGGTTCTTATGTACAGGAGGCCGACCACATCCCCAAGGCACCTACTCAGCTACTCACAGTAGATTCCACCATGGAGCTGATTACCAGTCTCATCACGGGGAATACTATATCCACCTGCCCAGCCACTCAACCAGGCCCAGCCAAACTGACACACAAACTTCACCACCACAGTGAGGGTATTACTTCTTTCCTTGGAGACTTTCTGCACAGACCTTATTTTAAGGACTCCATAGAGCTCCCTTTGAGAAATGTGGTTCTAACCTATTAATCAAATCCCTTCTGGGCATTAAGCCTCTCTGCTCTTATTCTCTCCTCAG